GTAAGTGAAGTTGGTATCCATCTAACATGCAGCATTCTTTTAACATTTCTAAACCTAAGTTCTTCCAAATCATAGAATCCTGATTTCAGATCCTACATTTACAAATGCTAACCATAGTTTAAAGTGTCACTTTCAGAACATTCTCAGATCTTAACTCACACTGAGAATCAAAAGACCTGGATTGAATCCTAACTCTGCTGCATCTCAGCTGTTAGATCCTAATAAAATTGTTTAAACTCCCTGATCTTTAACTTACTTATCTGTAAATTAGATGCACTCCCATGTATCATCTAATTTATGAAAGTTCATCACAGTCTATCAATCCTATGCAACTGTTAAATGTTAACATTAATATTATATGCTAAAAGTTGTTCTACTACCTTGGAAAGGGTAAGATTTTTCCCCTCTCTGTAAATCATCACAAAAGGGCCATTACCACCCTGAAATCAACAAACCATTTAGGGACCAAGCCAAATCACCTTCAATTAGTCTAAGATTTTATTAGGCTTATTTCTGGTCCTGAAGCTACAGGAGTTATTCTAGTTACACAGTATTTCACAATTATTCAAATTACTGCTATTCATATGAAGAACAGTTGTACTGTTCCCTACTATACAAAGTATAGCTCACAGCAATAAATAATAAAAACACAATGAAAAATTAATTTAATGATTCTATTGTTTTTATATGAATTTTGACAGATGTTAGGTAAGTTAATGTTTTACTTGACACAGCACAGTAGACAATAGAGGATTAGAATTGCTATCAATTATAGAAAAAAAAAATTTCTAATGTAATCCAGCAGCTCAAATACTGTTGGTTAATTTATTGGGGTGACATTGGTTAATAAGATCAAATAGGTTTCAGTGTACATATCTATGATACATGATCTGTATATTGCATTGTGTGCCCACCATCCAAAGACCAATCATCTCCCATCACCATATATTTGGCTCCCTTTATCCTTTATATTTCTAAATAAAATCTAGCCAAAAAAAATCTTGAAATGCTTTGCTAAGAATCAGCCAAGAAGTCATCTAGGAAAATGTCAGGTGAGAAAAAATTCTGTCTGCTTATTATCACTTCCATTCTATCAATTAACAGCATATAACTCTACTTGTTACTGGAGAGCCACTGATAGCACTTGAACACAGGAGTGTCTGTCATACAAAGAAAAAACAAAAACATTTACTAAATAGTAAAATAAGTAACTGTCCCTCCCTCACTACTAGAGAAACATCACACCATCTATTATTCCCTTAAATTTCAAAACACAATTCATCCCTTGTCAATCATAGCTAAATAGCTAGTGTCAGTCTGGCTGGCGTTGCTCAGTGAGCTTCAACCTATGAACCAGGAGGTCAGGTTTCGATTCCCCATCAGGGCATGTGCCTAAGTTATGTATGGGCTTGGTCCCCATTGTGGGGCTTGCAGGAGACGGCCTATCAATGATTCTCTCTCATCATTGATGTTTCTCTCTCTCCCTCTCGCGTCCTCTCTGAAATCAATAAAAATATATTTTAAAAAACATCTAGTATCAAATCATATCTCTTGAAACTTATGAAGGTAGTTCACTGTTCAAATTGTCAAACTGTTATAGTTTATATCCCTCCATGCTTTGATGTGAGAGAAGGTAGGAGTTCACAAAAAGTTCAAAAAAGGTCCAGCGAGCGTGGCTCAGCAGTTGGGTATTGATCCATGAACCAGGAGGTCATGGTTTGATTCCTTGTCAAGGCACATGCCCGGGTTGTGAGCTCCATCCCCAATGCGGGGAGTGCAGGAGGCAGCTGATCAATGATTCTCTCATCATTGATGTTTTTACCTCTCTAATCTTCTCTCTCTCTCAAAAATCATTAAAAACATATTTTTTTAAAAGTTCAAAATGGTCCAGCAACAAAAATTTCCCCTTTCAATCATCACTGAAAAGATGCTTAATAGTACAATTAAATACCTAGTTATTCACATAGGAAAGCCAATTATTAGTATTTGTAGGCATGTGGGAGGAGAAGGAATAGAAGGGGCCTTCGAAAAAGTTACTTTTCCTATAATCCTCACATTCTTTCCTCATTTTTAATAACAAAATACAAAATTTACCTTTTATGAGTATCTACAGAATATACTGCCTTCTTTATACTAGGTGTACCGGTTAACAATGCGGGTATTTTTCCATAGATGGAGTTACATATATGTTGATATATATGCAATTTGATATGTATGCTATTTTGTTGTATTGACAACAAGCTTCAAAACTTTATATGTCAAATTTTCTGAAGGTGTAACCTCATAGATATTTTTACGCTTAAAAATGTCAAATTTTGTGCCAAAAATTTGTGAGAAGAGCATTTGTGGCAACCTTTAATTAATTATTTTGAAGAAAAGTACTGCTGAAAATTATCATATACTTCGGGAAGCTTATGATGAACATACTCCATCTCAAGATATTTGTGAACGCTGGTTTAAACACTTTAAAAGTGATGATTTTGATGTAAAAGACAAACGTCCAGGTCAACCGAAAAAATTTCAAGACAATTACAAGCATTCCTGGATGAAGATGCATGTCAAACTCAAAAACAACTTGTAGAAAGATTAAACGTTGCTCAGCAAACAATTTCCAATCATTTACAAGCAATGGGAAATATTTTAAAGGAAGGAAAATGGGTGCCACATCAACTGAACGAAAGACAAATGGAAAACAGAAAAGTCATTGGTAAAATATTGCTTCAATGGCACAAAAGAAAGGGGTTTTTTTGCATCAAATTGTGACTAGCAATGAAAAGTGGGTTTATTCTGAGAATCCCAAACTCACAAAATCATGGGTTGATCTAGGTCAACAATCAACAGTGACTGCAAGGCCAAATCACTTCGGGAAGAAGACAAGGCTCTGTGTTTGGTGGGATAAGGAAGGTGTGGTGTATTATGACCTTCTAAAACCAGATGAAACCATTAATACTGGTCACTACCGACAACAAATAATCCATTTGAACCACGCTTTGATCATAAAATGACCAAAATGGGCCAGAAAACATGGCAAATTAATTTTGCTTCATGATAATGCACCATCACACACTTCAAAACTAGTTAAAGACATGTTAAAAGACCTTGCCTGGGAAGTTTTAACCCACCCGTTGTATTCACCAGATCTTGCTCTTCCAGATTACCACTTGTTGAAATCAATGGAATACACACTTTCTGAGCAGCACTTTAAAACATATGAAGAAGTGGAAAATTGGGTCTCTGATCCATATTATTAACCAGTTAATAGTTAATCTGCAACATTAACCAGTTAATAGTTTATCTGTTTTATTAACCAGTTAATAGTTAATTCATATTATTAACCGGTTAACCGTTAATCTGCAATATTAACCAGTTAATGGTTAATCCGAATTATTAACCGGTTAATAGTTAATCCACATTAACTGGTCAAGACGGTTTTTATAATCAAAGAAAACACAATAATTTCAAGAGAAGCATCGAAAGTGCTTTATTCAAAGTAATGTCCATCGCTAGCTACACATTTCCCCCATCTTTCAGGTAATTTGTGAATACCATCCCAATAGAACTTTTCTTGTTTTGAAGCAAACCATTCAGAGACTCAATTTTCCACTTCATACATTTTGAAGTGCTGCTCAGAAAGTGTGTGCGCCATCAATCGGAACAAGTGGAAATCTAAAGGAGCAATACAACAAAATAACATACATATCAAATCGCATATATATCCACATAGGTGTAACTCCATCTATTAAAAAATCTGCATTATTAACTGGTATACCTAGTAAATAATCAAAATTAGGCATTCAGCAATGTATTTTTTATCTTTAGTGAAGAAGAAATGAATAGTCATTAGCAAAAATTTTAAAATTCACATTTTTTTCCAACATCAGTTTTATCCTAATTGATATTTCTGATCCATGCTAACAGATGAATAATTCTTCTGGGGCAGGTGTTGCAAGATGTTAAACAAACAGCAGCAACAACAACAATAAACTATCTACCTCATTTAATGAGCACTTACTTTATGGAATAAATTGTTCTAAGCATTTTATGTGCTTTTTTAACCCATTTTATCTTACAAAAACCCTATATGATTAGTATCGTCATTATCCTCATTTTGTAAATGAGGATTCTGCTGCTCAAAGAAGTTAGCTTGTCAAAAGTCAAACCATACAGCTGAGATCTGTAGTCCTCTCCAGAGTCTGCACATTTCACTTTCATACCAAATGTTCTCACAGCAAAATCTGCTTTGAAGAACACTTCTCATTAAATTTGTATGTGTATACACACAAACAACATAAATACATATAGGCAAACACATATACACATACTACAGTATGTTTGAGAACCAGATTGTATAGTTATATTGCAAAATACTTTAGTGATCATCTTTCTAGTCCTCATTTAACCATCATGAAATAGCCACTAGATAGGATGTCCTAACTATCATCAATTATGCACAACCATTACATTCCTTTAAAATGGCTGACAAAAATTAAAGCAGCTGAACTGCACCATGATAAAACAACCTAAAGATCCTATATCTAAAAAGGCAATTTGGATTTGTGAATTCAACATGACTGGTCACTATTAAACTAACCTTTCCTTTTCTTTCTTTCTTTTTTTTAATTTTATTTAGTTTTCATCCAAATAATCTGGAAATTTTCCAAAAAACAAACAAACAAACATTTGTGTAGTAACACACTATCACTAAAGCTACTAGGCTAACATTTTGACTGAAGAGTCAATGGAATTTTTCAGCTCCCAAGAACATAAAGATCATCAATTTCATCTTTAATATTAGAGGTTTAAATGGGAAAATGGACAGCAAAACACATTCCAGAATCAATACATTTAAAGGTTACTGTACCTGGGGTACTGAAATGAAGGATTATTTCTAGTGACATGTTACAGTAAAATCACCAAATTATTAACAGTAATATAACATAAATATAATAACAGCATAAAAAGTATCATTATAAAAGTACAATAATGCACCATCAACTTACCAATTCAATTCCCTGTGGGAAAGGTGTATCATCCCAGTCCTTCTGTGGAAATCTCTGGATTATTTTCCCCAGACCTGCTCCTGACCCTATTAATAAAGTCAAATAAATAGAATACTATAAAATCTTAATACTCATTATATTAATACTTATTTATAAATGAATGTTCATTGAATAAATTGATATACTGGTTAAATATTTTCAAGATTTAAAGGACACAAAAACATTTACCTTCCAAACACAATACTGAAATGACAGACTATTATATCCAACAGATTCTCAAAATTTACATACATATGAAAAGCTAAAAAATAATTAGTCAGAAACATTAAAATCTAGAGTTTCTATCACACCATGGGAATAACTGCCTTTGTTCCCAATAAGGAAAGCAATCTTCTCAGTAATTCAAGTTGAAACTTTAAAAGAACTTTTTGAGGAGAGATCCAAGATGGCTGCTCGGGTAGACATCTAACTGCGGCAGCACACGACAATTTCAATGGAATACAACTAAAATGTAGAGTGGACATTGCCCAGAGCTACAGGTAGTCGACTGACTGAAAATTCTACAACAAGAAGGAAAGAGAAAACCAGAAGGAAAATCAGAGGAGCTAAAAAAAAAGCCTAAGGTATGGAGACATGCTGCGTGCCCGCCCGCACGCACGCGTGGAGAGGTCACAGCTGGAGAGGAGGAGAGGGCTGGGTGCTGCCTGGCGTTCCGTAGCAGGAAGGAAATAAAACCCCCAGCCTGGGCTGAACCCCCGAACCGGCAGCGCTGAGCCCCAGTTATGGGCCAGACCCTGGGGACCCAGGCTCCGGCAGGGGGAGACGGGGCTGTGAGGTGGAATCCCAGAAGAGCGGCGAAAAGCAGGGCCCCCGGAGTCGCGCGCAATGCGCGCAGAGGATTGAATGTTGACTCTGATGCTGGGTTACCCTAGCCGGAAGAAACAAAGCCTCCGGCGGCGCTGAGCCTCAGTCCAGACTGCTCCGAACCCCAGTTCTGGGCCAATCCCTGGGGACCCAAGCTCAGGCAGAGGGAGACGGGGCTGTGAGGTGGAGTCCAGGGAGAGCGGCGAAAGGCCGGGCCCTCGGACTCGCGCACACTGCGCGCAGAGGACAGTCTGTTGACTCTGATGCTAGACTCCCCTAGCGGGAAGGAGAAAAAAAGCTCTAGGCTGGGGGAACGCGGCGGGAGCGGGAGCCCCTGCCTGACGCCGGCCAACCGGGCACCAGCAAGGAGCTGGGCGACGGGGCCCCGGAGGGGTGGGGGCGGTGCCCCTGAGCCTTCGACCGCTGAGCTCGGGCAATGGAGCCAAGGCCGGGGGCTGCTTCCTGGGCGGCGCCGTCCCCGGCAACAGGCTGAAGCAGCGCAGGAGCCCGCGGAGAACAAAGGGGTGCCACTGGCCAACCTGCTGAGCTCCCAGGACAAGGAGGAAGAAACCAAAGAAGTTCTCAATGTGAAGAAATCAAGTGAGAGCAAAAGATAGTAAAATTACTTAAGAAAGAATACAAAGAGGTTCTTGAAAAATCAAAGACTAAGTCAGAACTCAACTCAACAGCCAACATTGCAACATAAATGAGTTTTTAAAAAGAAAAAAAAGAAGAAAAAAAAGGACAGAATGTTGGAACAACGGCGGCCAGGCCTAGAGGGGCCAGGCACAAGGCAGGGGCAGCCAGGCCCGGAGCAGCAACGGCCAGGCCCCAGAGCAGCAGTAGCCAGAACCAGAGCATCAACAGCCAGCACTGGAGCAGCCAGACCTGGGACAGTGGCAGCCAGGCCTGAGGCGGAGGCGGCCAAGCCCAGGGTGGCCAGTCCAGGAACACCCAGACCCAGAGTGGCCGGGCCTGGAGAAGCCGGGCCCAGAGCAGCCAGGTTGGGAGCAGCCAGATCGAGAACAGCAGTAGCCAAGCCCAGAGCATCCAGGCCGGGAGTGGCCAGGCTCGGACCGGCTGGGCCGGGGGCAGCCAGGCCCAGAGCAGCCAGGTCGGGTGCGGCCAGGCCCAGAGCAGCGGCTGCCAGGCTGGGAGCTGCCAGGCCCGGAGCAGCCGGGTCAGGTGCAGCCAGGCCCAGAGCAGCGGCTGCCAGGCTGGGAGTGGCCAGGCCCGGAGCAGCCGGGTCAGGTGCGGCCAGGCCCAGAGCAGCAGCTGCCAGGCCCGGAGCAGCCGGGTCGGGTGCAGCCAGGCCCAGAGCAGCGGCTGCCAGGCTGGGAGTGGCCAGGCCCGGAGCAGCCGGGTCGGGTGTGGCCAGGCCCAGAGCAGCGGCTGCCAAGCTGGGAGTGGCCAGGCCTGGAGCAACCAGGCCCGGAACAGCTCGCTCCTCGCCTGCCCCTGCCCCACGGCTGCCTCTCAGACATGGCTGGAAACTTTCACGGGAACTTGAGGGTCTGCTGAATCAAGTGATGAAGGCTTAGATCTGGATGTGTTGAGTTAGTATAGGGCTGGGGTGTTGATCTGTGAGTGCCTTGGGTGGGGCCTGGATGAGGCTAGTTGACCTATTGGGAAATGTCTTTTGTGTGAAGTGTATCATTGGGCATGTGGAGGTATATTGATATGAGAAAATGCTAAGTAACTGATTTACTATCTGAAAAGGGATTTACTATTGGGGAAATTGAGGGAAGAAGAGACTGAACATAAACTGCACCTATGGATGAGGACAATGGGGGATGAAGGGGGGACGGAGGGTGGGGTGGGAACCTGGTGGAGGGGGGAAGAAATGAGGAACCTTTGTAATAATATGAACAATAAAGATTGATTAAAAAAAAAAAAAAAAAAAAGAACTTTTCAATGGAGGCAAAGTACTTTTAAGTGACAAAATGGCAGTTAGCACTAAGCTTCAGTTGTGGGTTATAAACAGTGTTATGAGTAAAATAAAGACTTTTACCGTGGCCTGGGAACTTGACTACTACCGTGTTTCCCTGAAAATAAGACATCCTCCGAAAATAAGACCTAGCGCATGGAAAAATAAAACATCCCCTGAAAATAAGACCTAGCGCAACTTTGGGAGAAAAAGTTAATATAAGACACTGTCTTATTTTCGGGAAACAGGGTATCTAGGCAGAGTTTCTCAACATCAGCATTATTGACATTTTGGGCCAGATTGTGTGTTTATGGGAAGGTTGGGGGGAAAGGATCTAAGTCCTGTGTATTGTAGGATGTTTAGCAGCAACCTTAGCCTGAACCCACTAGATGATAGTAGTACCCTACCACCACTAAGTCATTACAATAAAAAATATCTCCAAATACTGCCAAATGTCCTCTGATGGGGGCAAAACTGTCCCTGGCTGAAAACCACTTGTCTGGGTCATTATTGTTATAAAATTATCCTGGGACACTAAAGAATGGATTGATTTATTCTTGAACCCTGGGGATGTAATCTGTGAGTACTTTGGGAATGGAAAGTATATTGTTAGCCCTAGCTGGTTTGGCTTAGTGGATAGAGCATTGGCATGTGGACTGAGAGGTCCTGAGTTCAATTCGTCAATTGGCTGTGGGGACCCGCTGTATTTATAATAGAAGAACTGCTGCGCTGGAGACACGCTTATGGTGCAAGCCTTGTTTCAGTGGGACTTTGGTGCTCACTGACTCCGCCTCCCGAATGTGTCACTTAGGGATGTGAGGAGTTGAAATCTGGTCTCACACTGACCACTAGATACACTGGCTTCTGGATCTCCTATTGTCTGAGGCCACCCGGCAGGAGCTACAGCGAGAACGACAGTCCTCTCTTCCCTGATTGGAGCTTGGAGGCTTTGGAGCTGTCTGCACCAGGTTGCAAGTTTGCTAGGTTGAACTGCAATGGAGAAGTCCATTCATATGCAAAAGACACTGCTTGGAGCTTGGGTGTGTTTGTAGATTGTGCGGGGTGGAAATATCAGGGCGTCACTAGGCTAGAGCGTGGCAAACAGCCATGGCTGCCAGTGAGCCATCTCTGCCTCTCTGCCCACGTCCCCATGTCGCACGCCCCAGCACAGCAAACAATTATTCTTGCGCACAGCTCTGCAAGCAAGCCACGCTCACTTTCCGAGCCGATGGCAGATAGTCCAGCTTCTCCCCAGAAACTGGATTTCAAAGAGATTGGGAGCTTGTCTCTCTTTGGGTTGAAGAAAACAATGCCCTCTGCCAGCCGGGACCCACCGCCAGCAGGGACCCTCCGCCAGCGCCACGTGTGCCCCCAGTTTTTCAGCGCTGTGTCCTGAATGCTCTTTCCTCTTTCAGTCTAGTTGTAGAGCTTCCATTCAACCAGCTTTCCCGTGATTCTGGGTGACAGATGTTTTGTCTTTTAGTTGTAGTATTGAAATTGTTGGGCACGGCAGCAGTTTGGATGTTTATTTAAGCTACCATCTTGGATCTCTTCTTAAATGTTCAATAAATTCATTACTACTGACACAAATAGTTTTAAGCTTACATCTCCCTGTCTTTTTAAACAGAAATAAATGCATGTTATTTAGCTCATCATATTTAATCAGGTGTTCCTATATTGTTTGTTTAGTTCTAAAAGCCATAGCTAATATATTTTAGGTTTTTAAAATAGTTTATCATACTAATTTTTACTAAATATAAAAATACATGTTAACTGCAATTTTTTTCAAATATATAAAAATATAAAAAAGAAATCACTCACATTCCCAGACCTGAGGAGAATTACTGTTAACATTTTGGACCATTTTATCCTAGGGATGAAATAGGGAGGTTTTGTAAACATGTGTTTTTTCTACAGAATTGAGATCATATTAAACCTAGCTTTATATATTGGTGTAGTACTTAATATTTTACAATGGGCCTTTACTGTAGTATGTACATTTTCTAGTTTCTCACTATTATAAATAATGCTACATAAGGCCCTTTCTATATAAATATTCATCCTCATCTCACTTTTCCACAGGGGGAAAAAAAGAATTCTTAGAAATACAACTACTAGGTTAAAGAGTATGAAAATTTTGAAGATCACACAAAGCCAAAGGGCCCACCAGAAAGACACTTAATTATTTTTTTTAATATTCTATGTATAAGAATGACATTGGCATTTTCACTATAGCCTTACCAACAACTGTTATTTTAAATTTTTACTGTTTTAATTATTGCAAATTTGACAAAT